TATCTCTGGCGTTGATTGCTTTCTTGCCTCGACTTCTGCCGCGCCTTTGTTCTCGTACTCCCCTTTATGTACAAGTGTTGTGCACACCCTCCCTTAAGGGGGCAGCCTACCCATAAATTTCATATGGCATTCAATTGACCGTAACTTTGGTGTTTCTCAATGGATTTGAGTGAAATTTTGACCACACACTCCTGCCACTATGCTGGCCCTCAGGACATGATTTACAAGTTCTTGCGCCTCACTGACAGGCTTTCCAGGCCGTAAAAACTCAAATTCCCGGCATAGTGCCACGGTGTGCGAGTCACCCAGGAGCCAAACAAATGCATTTACAATTTTTTCACATTTTCGTGCTCATTCTGTTCGTGCGCGGGACTCAAACCTAGAACAAGTCCAGAAGCAGCCATGGGTGATGGGGTAGGCCCCTCAACGAGGCCCTGGAATCTGTCACAACGGAACGAGTTGGCGTTCTCTCACACACTCCCACAGACCCAAGTCAATTTTTGAATTTTTTTAGGTTTTAGCACGTGCTACGAGGTCGTACCTTTGATACAACATCCAGTGCTGGGACCTCCACAGCAAGCCATTTCCACAGCGCTGCACACCTAATCCAGGATACCCCCAGAAACAGTGCCTAAAGCGGTGGGAGGTGAGTAGATCAGACTCACCACCAACATTTTGCATACAAATCCCCATCTAGTAGGGCGCAGTCACCCAGTTTCGGTGGAAGTGCGCGAGTTCGATTGGGATTCAAGTAGGAAGGGAGCGTCTCAGCTTACTCGGACCAAGACCATTCGACTCAGCAGTCAGCACCCCGAAGACTACAACTGGTGAAATTTTGATTTTTGCCTTAACTTCCCCTTTAATATAGTCTGTCTCATTTTGTGCTGAGATGTTTTGATGCATAGTGATTATGATGCTCATCATTCGCTCCCTTGTCACTGGACAGTTCTGTCCGTTTGGTTTTAGCGAATTCAAATAAAGAAAACAACAACAACAACAACAACAACAACAACAACAACAACAATGGGTCAACACAAAGGAGTGGCTCAGTTCGATTGACTCTTGCCTCAGATCAAACTTCAACATGCCAGTTTCCTTCCACAAACATATTTCGAGTGAACAATCAACGCTGATGATAGGTTTGCAAGGTTTGGGCCTAACATTTGGCTGACCTGTCAACGAACCGTCGCCTCTACAATGTCATGGTGTATGCGGGCCTAGCCTGTTAGCATGTGAACAGTGAAGTCAGCACTACCTGCAGACCCGGTCTACCACTGCACTATGAAGTATGACACAGTCAGGGAGAAGTACTCCCTCATACAGACTCAGTGCATGCGGCCCTGGCCCATGGCCCAGTGCAGTACAGCTACCTGTACTAGCTAGCATTGCATTTGGCCGAATTTTTTTAGCGACTACTGTGTACTAGTAGTACACTATCATGGTAGTACAATGATTGTGTAGATCTACTCTTGCTTTAGCCTTTATAATTACTTAGTCTTGGCTAGCATGCCACGCGAGCTTGACTCCTACTGAGTCCTAGATCCTGGACCTGGCAAGGCTGGCATGGTGACTGCACTGACTGGCACCGTCCAGTACTGCAGTAGACTTTACCTGCAGTAGTGACTGCTCGCTAGTCACTAGTGCACTGGACGGCGCGTGTAGGGACTTACAGGGGAAATCCCGGGGAAATAATTTTTCGCTGAGCATGAGCTGAGCTGAGCTGAGCACTTGTACTTGTAAAGTTGTACTTCGAAGTAGACCCGAACCTATTCTACTAGAATCAGTACTGCTGCTGTCTATTATATGTAGCAATAAAAACTGCTTTATGGCAGTTTTCTAAAAAAAGTTGTTGTGTTCTGATCTAGTCCATGGACCCCGTCTAAAAAGTAAGAAATTAACGAAATGTGATAGCCGAAAATTAAAATTTCACACAAAACCTCACAATAATCACACACAGGATAAAAAGCTAGAAGACCTTTTCCCCTCCACGGCTGTCAAGAAGCGGCAACTTAGAAAGATGGCGTCGGTTCGAGATGGCATGGTAACCGCGCACGTGCCGGGGTCCGTGACTTGCTCATGTATGCACGCCAATGCAAGTCACAAACTCACAAAGATCGTCTTTGCATTTGGAGAAAATATCTTCGACTCTCTTTGGAGGTTGGCGAGGTTTGCCTAATCTTTACTTGATTGCGATGCCGGTATGTCCTCTCAATAATTAGAACAAAGAGAGCTGATGATCGCTTCATTGCTGAGCAGAAGTAACAATCAACTCTCCTCATGTCCTCAGTGCCAAAGGCAGACGACTGCAATTCCACAACACTCATTTCACGATGATGGAAACAATAATCGTGTACTAGTACACACTTGGACCATTCGGTCATCCCTATTCTAGCCGCTAGTCCGTCCAGCAAGCAGATATTGACTATTACGATAAGTACAACTGCGTGAACGAGGGCTCACCCATCAAATTCAATTCAAGACGTGACTCCAGTCAAGAATTAGGGTCTTTACTCGAGAACTTCACAAATACAGGTCAAGGCACCCCACAAAACTGATAGATGGCACGAACGAAAGACAAATTGGCTAGACAAAGTGTCCCAAGTGATTGAAAACAGCAGATCTACCAAATAAGACAGCTACATGTGCCTAAACAACGATTCCCATACAGTAGAGAGTAGTATCAGGCAGAATGAAAGCCTTGGAAGTGCACAAATACAGCCACGACCGCCACAAAAATTGGACGACCGCCACAAAAAAATTCTCATTGCTCTACTTCCTTGAAGGATGAAAGTTACCAGTTATCCTATAGCGATGTCAGTTTATGCCTGTTGGAACCCCCCACAGCCCGCACGAAATACCTTTCAAATAATTCCAGGATGCAATTGCAGCTCCAGACAGGAGGAAGAAGAACACCGTGAAAAATAACGGCAACGATGCCCAACCTCTCGGGAAACGGCTGAAGTCTTCCTGAAGATGTTAACATTGAATAGCCATCGATTACCAGCGTGGTTTGGTGACTTTAGAACTGTTTTGAGACTTAGAACGAAGCGATATCTCAAATTTGATGGAATTGTTACCTGTCAAATGCGTGGGCGAGCAGGCCAGCTGACTGGTTATGCATGAACATGCATGAGCATGCATTGATTTTTCATGGTTCACGTGCAGAAAACTAAGTTGCCGCGATCCAAGTGCAGCTAACAGCCGTGCCTCGTGGTCCTCTTTCCTATTCATGCATGTTGGCGCAGGACTCCTACAAGTCACCCGTGAAGTGTCAGATGGACTCTTGGTCGGACTAAACAAGTGTTGAAAGCAGTATTTTTAATTTTCGGCTATCACATTACTTTTTAGACGGGGTCCATGGACTAGAACACAATAACGTTTTTTAGAAAACTGCCATAAAGCAGTTTTTATTGCTGTAACTGTGGCGGACATGGAAATCCAGTCGATTGACCGCGCCGGGGCCCGCGCCCTCATCGCGTAGATCTACGGAACGCTGCGCGCGTGCAGTGCACATGTAACAAGTACATTAGCGGTAATTATAGTAACTGTTGATCTGATGGGACCATACGGCATACCAGCGCGCTTATCCTCGGCTGCATGACCAGCGCCCTGCGGCCGCAAGACTTTCGACCGGAATTCCATGTCCACTACAATCGTACTAGAACTAGAACTAGTACACCAGTATAGTACAGTATAGTGTAGTACTAGTAGTAGTAGATCTACTAGTACTGAGCCAAGTCAAGCCTGACTCAAGTCAAGGCCTATAGCCGAGTATAGGCTAAGGCGAAGAGGCGTTCTTGTAGCACAAGAAAAAATTTCACCTTTCCCGCCGTAGCCTACGCGGAGGAGCCTGACATGATAGTATTCTCCACTGGCCTTTGCCTGAATGGAGGGAGTTTGAACAGTGAACATATCATCAGTATCACAGTCATAATCTAAAGACAAGCGATTTAGGAGGCGCTCAAGGATTGAGTAAATATTATTATGTCAGGGGCCGCAGCTACCGGCGGGGAGGAAATGGTCTTCAATGCCGAAGATAGGAGGGTTCGAGTCCTGAATCCTCGGAAATCTCCCGCCGGGGGTCACCCAGTTCACGCCTCCATTTTCCAAGTACGTTCAGCGTGCAAAACTTGCAAGCAGGTAGCGCCCGCCACGTGCTTCATGGTCGAACAGCTCAACAAAGGCCGCGATCATCCCTGCTACTATTTCACGACTGCCGCACACGTTCTTTGTTGCAGCGATTGTGGAGAGTATTGTTGGATTCAGATTGTGTACGAATGGGATCCCAAGAAGCCCAAACCCAGTAGCACGTTCCTGCCGGATGAAACCTTTGTCGAGGAAAACAATGACCGAGGATGGCTGCGGGTGCCCGAAGACTACGTAAAGAACTGCGGAGAAGGCAAGGGAGACTGGGATCGCTATCTGTATGATTATGGCATTATTGCTCTGCGCAAGGACAACTTGGAACAGAGACTAAAGGATGAGCTTGACAAGCTGAGCGGTGAAAATGCAATGGTGCGCAAACCAATGGCTCAACAGCCGCGTATGGAGTCTGTTGACCAGGCGTTCCTGTGTGGGTTTCCTGGAGAGGTCAAAAAAGAGGCGGTGCGAGGTCACATGTACTGGATGCCCGTTGACAAAGCCAAGAAAGCTGAACCGCTACTGGATGACATCGGCTTTAAAAAGCGCAGTGGCCAGGAGAGAGAGACATCGGCACTGTTTGCCATGCCGCAACGTCATACGAATGACGGTGACGGCGACGGAAACAACAAAAGCAGCAGCAACCAGGATCTTGTTGTCAAGCGACTCTACCGTCACTACATTGATTCAAGCGGTGGACAGAGCGGCTCACCCGTATACTCCTACGACGATGAAGAAGACGAGTACATCGTTTACGGCATTCATGCCGGATACTGGCGCTTTGAGGATGCCAAGTCCAATTTGTACTGCAATGTAGCAGTGCGGATGCAGGAGGTCTACAAAGACATGAGTGAGTGGATCAAAGGGAAGGAGGATGACAAGCACACGGCCAAGCCAGCTCAGAAACATTCCACAGAAGGTAAGGTTCATTCCGTGAGACTTGAGACTACTACTAAGTAGTTTAAAAAGCTAGGACCGTTCTACAGTGGAAATCAATTAAAAAAACCACAATTACCACAAAAGACGGCAAGGATGACTGCGAAAAAGACGGCACGAACAGTAAAATAGCAACAGCAACAACCACGACAACCACGACGACGACAACAACAACAACAACTACTACTACTACTACTACTACTACTACTACTACTACTACTACTACTACTACTACAAACCTGCAGCCACAATCTCACCCTCTTACCCAATAATTCCGGATTCCCACTAGGCCGATTTTACAGCCGACATGGAATTGTATGACAAAATCGTGAAGATCGGTGCGAAAATTTCCCTGGGGTAACCAGTGTTGTCGGACCAGTTTCCGACCAATCTGCGGCGAGTTTTCTTAGTGGTTGGACATGGTGGTGCGAGCCTCTGACCAATCACTATTGGCTTGTCACCATGACAGCAGAGAGTGTCGGTGCAGATCCTGAACTGGCTGCACTGGATCGCTACTTGACGCCAGCCCTTCACGTCGTTGACTTTGCAGCTCGTGTAAAAACGATCTCATTTCCGCTCTGGCGTCTACTACGGTCTAGTATGGCTGCCTACCATGCGTACGTGTGTCCACAGAGCGCCACAGGCCAGCAAGAACAATCGCTTGTCGTTCGTTGTGTGTGAACCGGTAGTCCGAATTATCCGACTTAGACAGCCGATTTCATGTTAAAGTCCATATCATGCCTGGTCTCCGCTAGGTCGAGTTTTTGGCCGATCGTGGTTTATCGATTATGGAATCATACAAAATTCCTAAAGATCGGCGCGAAAACTACCTGGGGTGGATGCGGCGTTTCCGACAAATTTGCGTGGGTGTGTGTATAGGTCCGATCCAGTTGGCCGATCTCATGTGGAAGTCGGTATCGGAGCGTCGACCAAAATATCGGACAGTGTGGACCAGGCATAAGAGCATCGGGGGGAAATTCAGCCTAGTGGGAACCCGATATTACCCTTTTCCCATTGCTATTACAATTATGCATGTTTCTATTGGCTACAAACTCTTCCAAATATTATAAATTTTATTATTTTTGGAAGAATTTGTAGCCAAGAGACCGTTTTTGGGTAGTGGTGTATAACTGTGTGAAACATGAACTGTGGCTACAGTGGAGTCTGCATACCCTTAGGAACTATACATGTAACAAGCATAAACCATGACTTTCTTCCCAGTGCCTAATATCTAGGCGCGCTCGCGAAACCAATTTAATAGTGGACACCGCTGTTTGAAGATCTCTAGGATGCGTGAAACGTGATGTTACAGCTATGTTATGTAGACAGACCTTAGCCTTCAGTGTTTAGTGTTCAGTGTTCAGTGTGGGCATTATTGCTCTGTACATAATCTGTATGTGGAGCACTTTGCTTAAGCTGCTCTGATTGGCACTGCGTGTGTAAATGTATGTGTGTGTGTATGTGTATGTGTGTATGATTGTGTGTGTGTGTGTGTATGTGTGTGTGTGCGTGTGTGTGTGTGTTGTGTGTGTATGTGTGTATGTGTGTGTGTGAGTGCGTGTATGTTGTGTGTGTGCATGTGCATGTGTGGGTATGTGCCTGTCCAATGTACTGGCTGTGTTGTTTGAAGGATTCGTTGAGAAGAAACAACGTAGCTATCTGTTTGGCACTGGAATCGAAGGAATGAAGAATTCGAAGCCAGGAACGTAAGTGTATGCACTGTGTAATGTGTGTGTGTGTGCGCGCGTGTGCGCGCGTGTGTGTTTGTGTGTTCATGCGTGTGTGTGTGTGTGTGTGTGTGTGTGTGCACATTGCATGCCCACACGTTACTGTGAGGCTTGTGTGTATGTCCTGTTGTGGACATGAAAATCCAGTTGAATGACCGGGGCCGGCACCTTCAATGCGTACAGAACGTTGCGTGCAGTGCACATGTTGATCCGATGCGACTAGCGCGCTGCAGCGCATAAATGCATGTGTGTACCGTGTACACACGGCTGCATGGCCAGTGCCCTGGGGCCGCTAGATGTGCGATCTGATTCCCATGTCCACGACAGTAGCTTGGTGGACATGATTATTTGTATGTACTGTACATGTTCGTGAGAATATGTGCATGTGTACGCGTGGGCGGGTGTGCGTGCACTTATGCAGTCATGGCAACAGGTGTATGCATTTCGGTGTCCACTATTCATACATGCCAATACGCGCGCTCGTGCATGCACACACTAGTATTTGGTGCAGAGCATGTGAAAACGGCGCAGGCAGGCAGGCATAGTGGGATGGTCTAAGACCATGATTGAGAAACAGAGGGTACCAGGTTCAAGTCCTGCTTGGAAGCGGAAGGAATTTTTCCAGCCGTGCTGCGACCCACAGATAATTGGGAATTCGTGGCCTGGCACGAGGGTAACATAGATGCAGCTAATGGGATTTCGGTCTTTGACCACTTGGTGGTGAGTCTGATCTACTCACCTCCCACCGCTTTAGGCACTGCATCGGCGCCTTGATCCTAGAGGGTGGTGGCGTTCCCACGGCGGATGGTGAAAACCCGGCTTCCAGGCGAGTCTCACGCGAACCGTGAATATATTTTTATATTATGTGAAAACGGTGCTTATCGTCTAAATTTGAGGTTTTTGAGTTATCATGCCCTGTTGGTAGCTGGTCTTAGCTCTAACTTTCATAGAAAAAAACAAAACCTAGTGGAAATCCATTTTTAACAGAATTATTTTTTTAATTTACCGATGCCGTGGTATGGATTTTTCGTTCACAGTTTTCAGCCACAAATGATGTCAAGTTCCAACTTCGAAAGCGATTTTGTCCGTTTCAGTCAAACACAGCTGAGTGCCCTTTCACGTGAGCTGCAGCATTTATTAATCCTTTCAGATTCTATTTGTCATGAATAGCTGATAGATAACACATTTTCATGTCTGTCTCTTCTCCTTTGCTGTGTGTTTTCAGTGAGGATGTCGGTAAACCTGACGAAGGTGAGGTATCTTTTAAATCACTTGGCATGTCTGTATGTATGTGTGTGCGTGTGTGCAAGTATTCCCAGTTGCCTTGTGTGTGAATGTGTGTGTGTGTATGTGTGTGTGTCTGTATGTGTGTGTGTATGTGGCTCTCTGTCTGTCTGTATGTATATATGTGTGTGTGTCTGTCTGTCTGCGTGCCAGTGTCACGGTATGAATGTGTATGTTCGTGTGGAGTGGCCCTGGGTGCACATCTAGTGCATTTGCAGATTTGCATGCTTCTCTGGCGACGGCCGTATACATGGTACATGGTATTTGTGTGGTTCTCTTGTCCACCTTGGTTTCTCTCAGTGAGCTGTAGATCTTGAAGATCAGAGAAACTGAGGAGACCCTGTCGCTGACACTTGTCAAGTGGACGATTGGCTAGCATGCGATTAAGCCATGGTAGGATCTCACTGACGAACAGCGGTGCGTCAAAGGGGTCATCCAGGTACACTGAGCAGCAAATGACATAGTAACACACAGTGATAAGTAACACACAGTGATAAGTAACATAGTAACACACAGTGATATGTGACTAAAAGTTCACATCTTCGTCATCGTCAGGATATGCTATGCGTGTACGCTACTGAGAATGGGCGTACGAACAAAGCTGTTGCGACTTCGGCGGTAATTGCTAAAGAAAGTGTCTGGTGCGAACGTCGGAGCTCGGAGCTAGAGCTCGCGTCATAGGTCGTCATTTGGCAGGAAGCACGAGCTCCGATGTTCGGAGCACACTTTCTTTAAGAATGGTTAGTTGTGGAAAAATGCAGTGAATCGTGACTTTTCAGTAGACTAGGTCACATGGTACTGTTACAAGCACACAGACACACGCATCCCCCCCCCCCCCCCCCACCCGCATACTGTATTTTACCGGTTGTAAGTCGACCCCGGTTATACATGTAGGTCGACTCCCGTTATCCGGAGGTCTCAATTCTGCGTTTTTAAATTTTTCACCCAAAGAAGCACTACTAACCACTCCCTTCTACTAACACAACACGAAATCATGTAATCATTCCTTAGTGGAGGGTATAACGTCCCAATCCTTGAAAAAGGGCCAATAAACTGGCAAAAATGTACCATGTACCATGTATACGCCCGTCCTCATGACTTTTCTTTCATTCTCCTGGGTGGTTACTAACAGCCAGTGCATGCCGGAGTATGTGGTGTGATGTGTGTGCGGGAAAAAAATGAAAAGGACCAAAAAGTAGGGATTCACTGCCCAAAAAGCCACTTCGTAGCTGTGTGGTGTAGACCAGGCTGAATAGTGGCGGTCAATTCCTCAGCCTTGCAAGCTGTTGAATGGTGCAATCCCAGCACAACAGGGCTGCCACACTCGGAGAGAGAAAAATCTGACGGGGGTCAGGGGTGTCCCCCGGCGGTGATGCATGGGGCAGGGCCCCGCGCGATGAATTTATTTAGGAAAATGGCTTGCTGTTGGGGTCCCAGAACACATTTTTAACTGTCCAGCACACGCGCTACAACCATGTCAATTATGCAGACCGGTCAAACGCGACCTGGAAGCGCCGAATTAAGGCCAACTGGACTAAAAAGCGCTCAAAATAAAATAATCGGTTGTCCCTCTTTGGGAGCAAAATCGGTCGGTTTGTCGGACAGGCGATCAAAAATCGGACGATTTCTGAAAAATCGGAGCAGGTGGCAGCCCTTGCACAAGTTGCTATGGCTTCTGCTGTAGCATCGCTATCATCGCCTCCGGCGATGGGCGTCAAATGGTCAAATGGTGTGTGTGTGTGTGTGTGTGTGTGTGTGCGCGCGCGCGCGCGTGTGTGTGTGTGTGTGCGTGTGTGTGTCTGTGTGTGTGCGTGTGTGTGTGCGTGTGTGTGTGTGTGTGTGCGTGCATGTGTGTGCGTGTGTGTGTGTGAGAGTGTGTGTGTGTGCATGTGTGTGTGTGTGTGTGTGTGTGTGTGTGTGTGTGTGTGTGTGTGTGTGTGTGTGTGTGTGTGTGTGTGTGTGTGTGTGTGCGTGTATGTGTGTGTGTGTGTGTGTGTCTGCAGGCGTACATGCATTGCTACTTCACTGAACACGATTGGAGCAAGCGAGCACGTGTGTGTCTGCGTGTGTGTGTGTGGGGGGGGGGGGGGGGGGTGCGTGCATGTTTGTGCACACTCATGCACATTCCGTAGTTCTACAATTCTGATTTGTGACTGAGTTGTGACTAAATAGAGCGACGTTTGATATTGAGCAAGCGGAGGTGATGTGTTTGTGTGCACATCTGAACTCAGATCCGACAACAGCTCTCCCCGTTGACAGCCCACTGGGCCCCATAGGGTAAGTCCACCTTTGAGGGTAAGTATAGCCTAAAATCAAATTTTCACCAGTTGTGGTCTTCGGGGTGCTGAGTCGAATGGTCTTGGTCCGAGGAAGCTGAGACGCTCCCTTCCTCCTTTATTCCCAATCCAACTCGCCACTTCTACCAAAACTGGGTAACTGGGCCCTACTAGATGGGGATTTGTATGCAAAATGTCACGTTGCGATGCAGCGTTCGGCCCTTATTCCCAATCAAACAAGATGGAGGAAGCGGTCACGTGCTCGTGCGCGCATCAGTCACCTGCAGGCTACAACTTACATCCTGTTTGGGCGGGTTCCTGTCACTCAAGTTAAACCTTACAACCTTTGAGGTGAACCTTGATGTGAAAGTTTTAGCCTGCAGGGACGGTGACCAGGTGATTGGTGAACACAAGAGCACATGCCCGGTTAGTCACCCGTGTTTGATTAGGAATAATGGCCGGACGCTGCATAGCAGCCTTTTCGGACCAAAGCCAGTCAACTCAGCGTCCAAAAGGCTACACCATATGGGCCAATCGCCGTCATCCGTGCTTTTTAAGAACGAAATTAATGGCGCTTTTAGTGACATTTTGCATGCAAAAAAGGGAACGTCTCAGCTTCCGCGGACCAAGATCATTTGCCTCAGCACCCGGAACTGGTGAAAATTTGATTTTAGGCTATACTTCCCCTTTGAAGGGGAAGTCTGATGAATTTTTTTAATATCAGAGTCCGTAGAGTTTCAGGCGATGAGTCGGACGGTGTTGGTCCCACGAGTCTCCGACAAAGCATTCTTGAGATGCTTCCGTTTGAAAAGCTGAGTTTCAGGGGCTGCGCCATGACGTCATGCGGCATCGCCACACCCTCTGCAACGTCATAGCATGCATCTAGGTCAAAAGGAGTGCGTGAAAGCAATAATGTCGATGCTATTTCGAATGATTTGGCGACCGATAGTAGGTGGTGCAAGCGACCCCGAAGACGGACCTCCGTGTGGGAGTCAGGATGCAGCCATGGCTAGCCCTCATGAGTTGGGTCTGGGGCTGAGAACGTCGGTGTTCTGCTGAAGAAATGGCCATGCAGGCCGGTCAAGAGCGAGTGCTGCCGCGTTTCCGACTGATGAAAAAACAGCGGCTTTTGCAGACGAGGCTGATATATTATTATTAAATCTCTGGAGAGCAGAGTCATCAAAATGGAGAAGAGTGATGCGAGTGCTCTAAATGTTGTTCGATGCCGACTCGCCTGGACTCCAGTGGCCTGCCATGGGGTGATTTATTCGTTGTAAAATTGGCATATTTAGGACGCTAACACCTGGTGATCAGTAAGGGTGAAACAAATAATCCGAATACATGTATATAAATGTTCGTTCGATAAGCTCAACCGGAAGAATATTCGTTACGGCAAACGAATACGAATACTGCATGCATGCCAAAATCGCCTAATTCTCGCCATCGTCCTCTTCCTCATCAGCAGCGCAAAATGTTTCTTTGCCACCTGGCCAAACCTGATCATAGCCACTGCTGCCAACATCAGCAACAGCGCCAGTAAATTCATCATCGTCGCCAGCAACAGCAGCTAATGTCTCATCCTCCGTGAACCAACGACGACTGGCCACGTTGAAGACAAGGCTTCAAGCGCAACGAAGGAGAATCAAACTCAAACTTTCAAAGCGCGATGAAAAAGCGCTGATCGAGTGCGTACACCCATCCGTGAAAATTATGTTGCACAACGATGCGGGGTCCGACTTTTGATATGTGATAAGGAGATGATGACACATGTGACAACTGAGTTCACATATGATGGCTACTACAGTCCATTCATTGGAAACTGGCACCCTAACGTTTTGGTGTCTCCCACACATAGTTGCCGATATCGTGAAAACAACAGTACATCCTGCATTGTGTGACCCGTGCAATTACTCCTTGCCACGTTTGAGGCCACAGAAGTCCAAGAACAGGGAAATAGAAATTCAGCCAGGTTTTACAAAATTAGGATAGGTTTGCAATGGTAAAATGTATGGAGAAGCAGATCCAAAACCCAGATTTTTCAGATTCAAAGTGGGTTTTGATCCTCAATTCAGCCCCAAATCCGACTTTCATAAAGACAGCGGGACTGTTTCCGATGAATGGACTGTAGTATCTCGGAAGCTAAACGAAATCCCACGGAAGCACCAGCTTGAAATCTGTGTAAGTGGTTCGAAATCATGAAAATTTGATGTGCAACTTGAAACACGTTTTACTCAGTGCAGTGAGCGAAACACCCTTTTCACGTGCGCTGGCTCATATCTACTTTACGCGTAAATACATCTGCAGATTTCCAGCTAGACGGTGATGTATTGTAACCCTGTGACGAATTTACTCTTTCCTACAACATGAAACCATCTTCAAATACATGAGCCATGAACACAAAAACATGTCAGTCGTAAACGAAAGCATATTTGTTCGTTCGTTAACAGAAAGTATATTCGGATAGTCAATATTCGTATTCGTTTCACCACTAGTGATCAATGTTGGCTCTTCGAACCACGAGCACGACTCTCCAATTCCAGGCTCACAACACTACGGGATCTGAAAGTTTTAGGTCCGGGAGCTGTTCTTTGTTTTGTCACTTGCCACGGTTGTGGACTCATCGTTGTAGCGAGACTACTCCATGCGGAAAACTAAGATTTTCTTTCTCAAAGCACAACCACCGGCGCTGGTAAGGAGACACGCACGTTCCCTGACTACATGACTGTACATACGACTGATGCAAGTGCTAGGCCTTTCCCAAATCGGCCCTATATTTTGCCCTATTCGGCTTTTCGATCGGCTGAAAAAATCGCCAGAATCGGCTGAAAATTTCTGTAAAAGGTGGAAATTCGGCTCTAAAGTCGCAGCCACCTTTCGCAGATAATGGCTACAGAAATTGTATTTGCATGCTATTGAGGCACTAAAACATCAATTTCGGCGAATTCAGTGCGAAAATTGCGTATTCGGCTAAAAGATCGGTGATTTCTTCAAAACCACTATTTTCGGCCAATGTTTTGGCCGGCCGATTTGGAAAATGCCTGCGGGCCGTGACGCAGGCGTGCACGAGCGGTCATGCCCAGTTGCCCACGACCCTGCAAAACATGTATATTCGGCGATTTCTTGGTAAAATCTCAGAATTCGGCCAAAAGATCGGCGATTTTCTGAAAAGCCTACTTTTCGGCGAATTTTTCGGCCGGCCGATTTGGGAAAGGCCCAGCGAGTGCAGTATGGTAAAACCGAGTTTCAGACCAAAAGGTTCAACCTTTTTGTAATGTTGGCATGATAACGTGCAGAAAGTTTAACAATGGCTACCTGGCCACCCATCTGTATGCACATCTTTACACAGACATGTCAAACCGGGTTCACGATAATAATCTTCATAATATAACGATAAAAAGTGGTCGTTAAAATGTTAGACTTTGTGCCTCGTTAGACTTCCTGGTTTTACAGTAAATGACAAGACCATGTCTAGAGTCTCTTGTGACTGGAGTCTTGTAACACACGACTAACACACGGCGGTGACTAAGCACGGCAGTGCGGAAGGAAAATGTAGTCATGTTACGTTGTGCGTGTGATGAGTGCGTTGACTACAGCTAGCATGCATGCGAAGGCCAGCGCAGACGGAAATGGCTAAAAGACGTGATAACCTCAAGATTTGCCGAGCTGAAAATCACAGGATACGTAATACATGTATTTGTTCCACTGGGTGAAATGGTCTTGGTCCGAAGAAGCTGCAACAAACGGTTCCCCAATTGAACACATTCTGAATAATGGCCATTTTGCACACAAGATTTTATATAATATGGTGTGGCTACCTGGCTGCACACCGTGACGTCATCACCTAGATCTGGGTGATGCGCCCTGAAATTCGCACATGTTCGATTGGGCATATCTGACGAACCATAGACCACAGCCTTTTCGGACATGGACCATTCGACTTAGCGCCCCAAACTCTACGGATGCTGAAATTTAAATTTTTCAACAAACTCCCTCTTTAAACTCTGTATTTCATCTGGACCTCCTGATCTAAAGGGGTCGTTTTCTTAGTATTTCGCAGTATATGTATGGAGAACAGGGTATTTAAAAGTTCACCATACTGTATTGAGAGATATGGCCGAAACAGCTTGCTGTCTACAGCATTGGGTATATTACGCTCCTCGGCATTCGTCTTGTTGTGCCCTCTCAGTAGTACTGAGTTTTCTAATGCTGCTGCATCACGCAATGCCCGCTACTTTTCATAGTTGGAGCACTCTGGCGCTAGAGCGACGAGCTATCTTAATGTCTGTGGTGCCTCCTTTGCACAGTCGCTGATAGCTCGGCCTGCTTTAAGCTCGTAGCTGTACCGATTTGGCCTTTATGGCCGAAACAGCTTTGTTATTTATATTTATTACAACATCTTAAGACTCGGTGGAAACACCGGCCGATGTTAAGAGAGTGGGTGATTGCCAACCACGGCGATAAATAAAATTAAGGGGAGATTGCCATCTACAGCGTAGGGTATTGAGAGATGTAAGCACTGTGTGCAGTGGCCAAACAGTAGCCTGTGCTTGATGAAGATTTACGTTGCCTGCACAGTAATACATGTACTGGAGACCAGATATTTTAACGTCAATTAAAGTTTACGATCTCCGGATTTTTGTGGGTTAGCGAGGTGAAGTTCTAACTAATTCTCTCTCAAAACAAGCAGATGATTGTACATGTACGTATTGTTTTGCACATAACGACTTCAAATGTTAAAATGATTTTCTTAAATTCGTTAAATCTTTAGAATTAAAACTAAAATGTTCGTTAACACTACTGGTCTTACAGTATGGTGGATATGGCGGCTCAGAGCAATGCCCGGCATGGTGCAGAGAGGTTTTACAAGCGTGTATGCTAATGGCTGACGAGTGTAAGTACGTGTTGGCTGAAAGCGCAGCGAAGAGAGATGGTGATACTGCTGATTCCACAGTATGTTGTGTGTTCATCCTGCTTCTCTATGTAGTTCGAAACGCCTTAAAGATATCGACGACCCCAAGAAATTTGCTAAGAGTCTTCAAGATTTCGTCGATAAGAATGAAAGGAGTAAGTACTTCGCAAATTTAACTTGGATACTGAGCCAGCAAAATATAATTGAAATAGAAGAAATCTCATGGAAACGAGTTAAGAAGTATCCGCGACCGTCACAAGATGATACGCAGTCAGCAAGTTTTGTTATGTTATCACACTTTCTGACTGCGTGTTATCTTGTTACAGTCGTGGATAGTTGCTTCATAACTCGTTTCCATGTGATTTCTTCTGTTTTAATTGCATTTTTCCTTGATTTCTTCTCCAGTTTTGTAATGCATTGTACCCCATTTGGGTTTTTGCCCATACAAGAGGATTTTGAGTATGCTAACAAAATGTTTGACAAAAGTAAGTAATTTAATGAACTCGGATACTGAGCCGGTAAAAAATATATATCTGACCGACACAAATTGGGTGGTGTGTTGCTTTGCCGCTTCGAATTGTAGTTGGACCGCATTGTCAAGTTATTGACTGGTCTCGTCATCTTCCTGTAACAGTCGATATTCGTTGTTACCATATGGGACATAGCCTGCACACAATTTTCGCTGTGCTCACCTTCCCATCTTTGATCCTAGCATAACATTGAGCTTTCCAAGCTGGAACATTCCCAGATCTCAAGTCTAAACCTGCCAAATGCATGAGTGCAAAGGAAGAAACAAACACCTGGTCTTACATGAAGGGACAGGAGGATGTTTTTTTGGTTGTTAAAAAATGTAAGGAGAATATGTTATGAATTATGAGCAACTACCCGACAAAGTAACCAGATAATATGATGTCAGCTAGACGACAACAAGGCTTAAAACTGACATGTACATGTAGTAGTACTGTAGAGAGACATTTACCAACTTGACACCTAACATAGCTACAACACATTCTACAATATGCAAACTAATCACCTTCCAACTTGGACAGATCAGGTTAGGAATCACTCAATGAGAGGAAGGAAAGCGTAACGCCAAAATTAGAACCAGCTACGACCCTCAGCAACAAAAAATGACAATGGTTACTGGATGATGATGTTGATGATTTCTTTTTTGATTCCCACCTTCCAACCCGGCAAATATTTAGATTTTGATAAAAACGATTCAAAGCCTCTCAATTTTTTTTGTAATACTTGAAGTACAGTACATGTATGATACATTGGCTCACCATCCGAGTTTAAAGGGGAAGTCCGGTGAAAAATTTAAATTTCACAGTCCGTAGAGTTCGGGGCGCTGAGTCGAATGGTCTTTGTCCGAGGAGGCTGCGGCTTATGGTTCGTCAGATACGCCCAATCGAACATGTGCGAATTTGAGCGCGCATCACCCAGATCCAGGTGATGACGTCACAGCGTGCAGCCAGGTAGCCACACCATCTAGTTGTGTACAAAAATGGCCATATTTGGAGCGCATTCGATTGGGGAACCGTTTATCGCAGCTTCTTCGGACCAAGACCATTCGATTCAGTGTTACAAACACTACGTACCCTGTGATTTTCAGCTCGGTAAACCTGGAGGTTATACCGTATTTTAGCCGTTTCCGAGTTGGACTTTTCCGTTAGCCCGTCTACATGGTCTATGCGCTCTGCGCTGCGTGCATGCAGTGCGTGTAGTGTGTTATCTAGCTGTAGTGCATGGAGTCAACAAACTCATGTCACAACTCAGAACTGACACAAGACTCAGAAAACTAGTCAACACACGGACTTGTCATGTACTACACTCGTATCAGTCGTATTGTACAGTCATGTAGTCAGAGAACGTGCGTTTCTCCTTGCCGGTGCCGGTGGTTGTGCTTTGAGAAAGAAAATTTTAGTTTTCCGCACCCGCGGCGCCTCATTATTTTATGCTACAGCGATGAGTGCACAATCGCTACAAGTGACAAAACAGCGAACAGCTCTCGGACCTAGAACTTTCAGATTCCATAGCGTTGCGAGCGAAGAGTCGTGCCCGTGGTTCAAAGAGCCTGCACTGTTCTCCAATTGAGTAGTCCGAAATATTCCAAGTTCGCACCAAAACATCACCATGTGGCAGGCTACTGGAGTCTAAGCGAATCTAATCGGTATGGAACAACATTTAGAGCACTCGCATCACTCTTCTCCATTTTGGCGACCCTGCTCTCCAGCGATCTGATAATCACATCAGCCTCGTCTGCAATAGCTGCTGCTTCTTCATCAGTCGGAAACTCAGTAGCGCTCACTCTTGACCGGCCCGCGCGGCCATTTCTTCAGCTGACTACCGAGGTTCTCAGCCCCAGACCGAACTCATGAAGGTCAGCCATGGCTGCATCCTCACTCTCACAAGGAGTTACATGTCTTCGGGGTCGCTTGCACCACCTAATATCAGTCGCCAAATCATTTGAAATAGCACTGACACTATTGCTTTCACGCACTCCTTTTGACCTAGCTGCACGCTATGACATTGCAGAGGGTGTGGCGCGGCCGCATGACGTCATGGCGCAGCCCCCGAAACTCAGTTTTTCAAACGGAAATATCTCGAGAACGCTTTGTCGGAGACACGTGGGACCAACACCATTCGACTCAGCGGCCGAAACTCTACCGACCCTGAAATTTAAATTTTTCACCGGACTTCCCCTTTAAGTTTGAAAAGTTGTTTGAGAATTCGAACTAGGATTTTGCGACATCGGCGGTAATTCTGTTTGAGTTTTGTGGTTTGAAGGATAACCTGTTGTTTTATGTGTGCGGCTAAAAATCTCACAGAAGACTTCGGTCGCAAAGCAGTCGAGGCTGTGGACCCAAGCCGTAAGAACAATTCGCCTAACGTACTGAGAGATTTTCATCAGCTCAAAGAAGACTCCATCGATGGCCCGTGGAAGGGCCAAGAGAACTTTATGTGCATCATCTACTATCTGATCGTCAAGAAGAGAGAGATGACTATACATGCTTTGTTTGAGATGCTCACACCATGTGCACCGCAGAACACAGGCAGAATAAAGAAAGAGCTGATGTAAGTATGAGAAATGCTTGTGTTAGGGCATGTTCGATTGGTAGGATCCAGATCTCAGATCCGTCGAATCCTTCAGAGTCCACTGAACACTTTGTTTTGGTCCTTGACTCTTGCCATGTTGGTGAAGTAATAAAGTGTGCGCTCACGGGTCACCCAAAAGGGTGAAAGTCGTATTCGTGGCGCACGTGTTGTACGAAAAGTCAACAAGAGTATCTCGAGCGACGAGTGTGCGTACCACAATGTGTACAAAAGAAGCGTTGGCGAGACACGATTGTCGGTGATCTGCGCTCGCTGGATATTCCGGAGTTCGAGTGGTATCGGCTCGCACAAGATCGCCCGGTTCGGCGCAGGCGGGTCCATCAACATCGTCTTCCTCCCCCGGCACCGAAGGACTTTCACTGCGCATGCGGCATAGCGTTTATGAGAAGTGCCGATTTGAAGCATCACATCAAGTACTGCCCAACTCAGTAGCCTATCATCTCCACTGGAGATGGGGCGTCAAAGGTCAAAGGTGTACAAAAGTGAGTTTTACCCGCCATACACGCACAAAGGTCACATTTGGATCTGTTGGATCCGGTCAACCCTGCTCCCCGAGGTGGGTTCACCGGATCCCAATCCAAAGGATCCGGATCCGGATTCGATCAATCGAAAGGGTGCGAATCCAGTGGATCCGGTTGATCAGGATCCCGATCCTACCAATCGAACATGCCCCTATGTACCTCCTCCCGTATATTGCCTCCTACTACCTTTTCCAAACTGGCTTGCATGCACCCCGTGCGATTTCCATAATAATGATGTATTGGTTCGTGTCCCTGCATCGCTGCTGGCATCTCTCCTGGCATCTCTGCTGGCATCTTTGCTGGCATCTCTGCTGGCATCTCTGCTGGCATCTGTGCAAATCTTTGACGATTGCAGTGCTCGCCATCTAACTGTACTCCAATGTCGTTGCATTCATTCCACCTGCATAGGTTGTGTGTGTGTGTGTGTGTGTGTGTGTATGTGTGCGCGTGCATGCATGCGGGTGTATTTGTTTGTGCGTGCGCATTTGCATGCGTGTGTGCATGCATTCATGCATGTTTGTGTGTGTGTGTATGTGTGTGTGTGCGTATGGGTGCGTGAGTGTGTGTGTGTGCATGTATGTATGTATGTATGTATGTATGTATGTATGTGTGTTTTCTCATTATTGTCATTTAAGGGCGGCTTCGTACGAATGAGCAGTGTCGTGAAGTCACCATAGCAACTACCCAGGTGCCCTACGAAGGTCACCAGATGTCTGCGGCATAGTCGTCTTCTGCGGTTTGTTCTTGCGAAACTGCGCGGTGCATTGCTCTGCATTACTCTGCATTGCTCTGCATTACTCTGCATTGCTCTGCATTACTCTGCATTACTCTGCATTACTGCATACCTAGTAGAATACATGTGACTGTTATCTCTTTACCATTCTATGTTCGAAGTCGGAAGAAGTGTTTGCGCTCTTGTCTCCAAGGAAACTGTGCATGCATTTCGTTGCTTACATAATATTATTACGCCTTCCGTGACACGTGCATGCTGAATACTCTCCTTTCGCCTGCACATGCCTTCGCTAAGTATCGGTGTTTGATGTTGCGCTGTCGTACCTTGCCTCTCTATGTCCTGCGTATCATAATGCTACATGTCTTGCTCTCGTCTTGTCTTTTCTCTCTCTCTCTTATGACCTTCTCTATTTTTCTTGGCGCGCTTTGTCTGTGCAGACGCCGAGACCACCAAGGTCGGCTGAGCAGCAGGGCCCCGCCACTACTTTTCGAATTCATTCGGGAGCATAGTGGACCTAGAAAGAAAAAAATCCTTTTCCTTCTATCATGGGTGTGTGTGACACGAGCGAAACATGGATGAGGCGAATAGGATTATTATGTCTTTGGCCATTTACTTCTGGGGTGTGTTATCATGACTGCGTGTTGCCATGGCTGTGTGCTGTCATGGCTGTGTGTTGTCATGACTGTGTGTTGTCATGTCTGTATGTTGTCATGGTTGTGTGTTGGCACGGCGGTGTGCTGTCATGGCTGTGTGCTGTCATGGCTGTGTGTTGTCATGACAGCGTGTTGTTATGGCTGCGTGTTGTCATGGCTGTATGTGGCTGTATGTTGTTGTTTTTTCTGTCCACCCTGCACTCACTCGTTGCGCACACATCCGCACACTCACTCATACGTGTACACCACTATTGAACACGTGAACAATGCCAGTGGGGGCCACCACAGCACAAACTCTCCGCACAAAGACAAAAGAGGCCGACCCTGCACTCGTCACCTCCTTTTATCCCACACCGTGCTCCCTCGTACCCGTTCCCGGGTGGACAGAGAACACTACTTCTCTGCTAATTCTAATACTGTGACGTCAACCGCAGAGAAGTGACATATTTTTAATTTTTTTTATTTACTTGAAAAGCACATAACCACCAGGAAAGCTGACAAAGAAAAAGAGTAAGAAAATACAGATATAAAGAGAGCTGAGAGAGAAAGAGAGAGTTGGGGTACGGTTAAGGGAGGACGAGACATTGAATGGTGGTCGCCACAGTCACAGATACATGTAGTGGCAGTATAGGCGAGGCTACAGGCACTCAACTGACCAATAGGTTTCAGTATCGCCATGCCGGTAACGCAACAAAAGACAAAAACGGAAGAAAATCTGAAGCGCAATACATGAATAGTAATTACAATATAGGTAATAGGGAGAGTGGTGACCAAGAGAGGACAGTATAGACAGTTAGTATGGGGTGCTTCAATGCACATCCCCAAACCAAGAGGTGCGATCTGGAAAGAACAGTGAGGCGATCGTGTTGTCATGGATGTGTGTTGTGAAGACCATGTATAACCGTGGTTGGCGCCAACTGATTTTCATTCTACATGTTGATTCTCCCTCTAGATTGACCCTTGAAATCCTTAGAAATCCTTTGCTTTCAAAATGCGAGCTGTCTCCCTTTATATCCCCCCCCCCCCCCCTGCCGACCGGGGATATCCGGATTGCCCTGTTCAGACCTCTACTCATAGCAAAGTGCCAGCCCTGCTTACTAGGGTCCAGCGGAAAATGCCGGCATTGTATTCGGCATTATGGGACTATCCGAGCATCAGAGCTTTATGGAGCATTAGAAAGGAACTAGACGAGCATTTTGTGAGGTTTGAGCAGCAAAACGAGTTTCGTACTGAACAATAGACATGGTAAGCATTTTACCGTTCACACTATTTTCGACGGTCGGCCTGCATCGTTTTTGTGTGTGTACACATGGCATTTTACAGTTCACGCGCTAGATCCAACGGCACTCGTACCCCAAACCCAAAAATACCGTCGGTTTGGTACCGTTTCGACGATAGAAAGCTCTTTTTAGCGGGAGAACGAAACGGTAAGATTCCAACTAGCGTCACCTCACACGTCTATCGTTGCGGCAGGAGTCGGGACTCAGAAGCCGAACTGCTAAGGCTCTTATCACACTGCGTTCAAATGTCGCGTTTGCGTCTGCATTTTCTTCGGTTTTTGACGGTCGCCTAGGAAATGCCATCACGTGACGTTATCGCGAGCGCGTTGGTTTCCAGACGCACAGCCGCAGACGCAAACCAGGGGGGAGGGGGGTAGTCAAAACCGAATCGCGTAAACGCAGATCGGACTTTCTTTATCGCAGCACTTCCTGCATTTCCTGCATTGTTTCTGAGTGTTTTCAAGTGATTCTCAAGTGTGCTTTTCAAATCTTCATTTCCATCAGTTGCTGAGGCCGGCGAGAGTACTACATGTGCTGATTGATTCATTTTCGCGAGGCATGGAGCTGATGCGAGCTCGTGGCTGAGGTTGCGCTGGCTAGTTGGCGGCGGCTAGCCTAGCTGGACGATCTGCCTCAACAACGGAACTGCCACGTACCCCAACACAGGCCACGCAACGGCTGCAGTCTTCTCATCGACTCCCATTCCCCCAGCACCACAGACAAAGGACATAGGAGCAGAAACAGAACACTTCTCGATCTCAGGAAAATAAATTCAACATCCACGGCCACCTGGAGATCGATTCCCCACATTTTTGTATTTTCCCGCGCGCACAGATTTTGACGCAAACGCTGAAAATCACAAGACTTAGTATAGTATGATATCACGTCTTGCGTTTTCCAGTCTCAAACGCAAACGCAGACGCAAACGCGACTCAAACAAATGCAGTGTGAGAACGGCCTAACCGTGTCTTGAAAACACATCAAAAACAGTAGACTCACCCTCTACACGCCGACCGTGGAAAATAGCGTGAACGGTACAATGCTAACTGTAACTGGTATAATCTCAGCACTCAAAGCACATACTTGTAGTTACGTAAGTAGTTATCATTCGTTCATTGTCTCACAAGGAGAAGAAGAAGACCAAGGCAGTGCGAGTATGCGCACTGCTATCCATGCATTCCTACGGTGTACTATTTATGTGTATACAAATTACCTGTCATAAAGTAGCCATGCTACACTATCCTCCTCCTACCGAAAATTCACGCCCTCGTGAATAGAGAAAGAAAACAAACATAAAAAATAAAAAGGCGACGTGGAGACAATAATCTTAATAATGCAATGAATATAACTAAATGCGCACTCATATCACAACCATGGGGACGAATCATGTATTCCAGAACGTTTTTTATTTTTATTTTTTACTATTGACACAGCCCTACTGGAATACAGGTGAAGAACAAAAAGAAACGAGGAAAAGGACAAAACATAGGGGATGTAGGGACGACGTGCTGATGTGCTGGGAGCAACTCAACCGACCAGAGGTCTCGGCGTCAGCGTTGCAACTAGGCATCGAAAAAATGTGTGTTTGGGGGGGGGGGGGGTTGCACAAGAACAACTTCAAACAAACAGAAGCTAGAGAATACCACAAAGTAATAACTTGGTGCGAAATAATGAGAAGAAAATAATGACGCCCAAAAGCGCTAAATACGAAATTAAGAAAAAGGAAAATAATAAACCACATAGCGCTAAAGCTGCACGAAATAATAATTTAAATTATAACTAAACCGGGTGGAAAACCAAGAAATCATAACAAACAAAACAAACTAAATAAAAAATTTATAAGAATAAAATAAAATTTAATAAAAGGTAAATGAAGCCCAATATCATCAGCATAGCCGAACCAAGGAACATGACCCGTGCCACAGTCAAGAGTTCATCCGTAGAAGTCGGTAGCCATCAGCCAGTGTTGGTGCGTGAGGTACTTATGGACATCTTCTTTGAACGTGTGGAGCCGCTTCAAGCTGAGTGGAGCCCTTACAATTTCGCTCGGCAAGCTGTTCCATACTGACACTACAGAAAACGGGAAGGAGCGAGAAGCATAGGCAGGTGCTCTCCTGTCCAGGACTTGCTGCAGCTGCACATGGTGCTGCTGGCCAGGAGGGGGTTGACTCCGGGTGCGCCGAGCTTCTACATGGTTGGCTGGAGGAGGGATCATGGCGGTGAGCTGGGGTGGTCCTGGGATGCACTGGAGCTTGTACAGGTATACCAGCCCAGATACAATCCGGCGGTGGCACAGGCTTTGGAGAAGAGCACCAGGGCCAATAATGGCCATTGCACGTTTCTGTACATGGTCGAGTCGGGCGAGGTGGCTGGATGCAGCTCCCATCCACACAAGGGGAGCATACTCGAGGATGGGTCGCACAAATCCCTTGTGCGCACAAAGCCGGCCATGGTAATCTAACACCCGGCAAGCCCGACGGAGAACACCCAGTCTCTGGCAGCCACGTGTCGCAATTGAGTGCAAGTGATCCCGTAATGACAGCTTGGCGTCAAATGTCACTCAAAGAAACTTGATGGTGTTGGCTTCCGGAACCGCGATACCTCCAAACTTGATGTCAGGGACAGCAGGGTGTGTGGCTTTCGTAGTCATCAGCAGCTGTTGCGATTTAGAGGGCTCGAATCTGATGCGCCAGCGTTCTCCCCATTCTTCAAGACGCTTGAGGCTGGATTGCAAGGCGGCAGTCATGTCATGCATATTGTCCTGCGTGCAGATGAGGCTGTAGAGGGTTGTGTCGTCTGCAAAGGAACTTAGTCGCGTCTCGGGAGACAGGCACTGATCCAGGTCAGACACATACAAGAGGAAAAGTGTCGGGCCAAGGATACTGCCTTGGGGCACACCTGCTGTTATGGGCTCCGGAGAGGATGAGTCGCCGTGGACCAGGACTGATAGTTTGCGGTTCAGGAGGTAATCCTGCAGCCAGTGCAGCAGGCAGCCACCAATGCCAACGTTCTTGGCTTTGAAAATCAGTCCAGAGTGTGATACCCGATCAAATGCTCCTGCTATGTCCACCGCCGCCATGTGAGCGTACCCTCATACGCTGACAGTCTTGACCCACTCAGTGTGCAAAGCAGTGAGGATGTCGCACGTGCCTCTTCCTTGCCGAAAGCCATAATTATTGACTGTCGGGCAGAATATTGAAACGCTCCAGATAATTCACGAGCTGCTTGTTTACTATACTCTCCATTACTTTAGACAGGATGGATAGTAGTGAGACTGGCCGGTAATTCTTGGGATCCGAGCGGGGGCTCTTCTTGAAGACTGGAACCACATGGGCCAGCTTCCATTTGCTAGGTTGAACACCGTGGCGAAAGCAGAGTGAGAATAGTTTGGTGACTGGTTCTGCAAGCTCACTGGAACACTGAGCTAGGACTCTTGCTGGAATATTGTCAGGTCCTGTTGCCTTCGATATATTCAGCTTGGCTAGACGGCGGCGTACATCAGCAAGCCGGAAATGGATGCGGTCAAGACCATGGCGGTCCAAATGCTGCATTTCTAGCAGATTGTCTGGAGAGATGTCATCATCTGCAAGGCTACACTTCTGGGAGTAGT